GATTTGAAATTTGAATTATGCTTAAGTTATATAAAATAGTATTAATTAAAACTTAATTATTAATTTAATATTGTTAATAATTAAATTAATTAAAAATGTATAGTTACATACATATGGTTTAATTTAATTGCGTAATAAAAAATAAAATAAAATTATTCTTAATATTTTAAAATATTTAACATGCATTCGGTATGTAATAAAACAATTTAATAAAAATTTTAGATAAGAAAACATCTTGATTAAACTTTATTCTAATTTTAGATTAATAGTTGCCATATAAAATAAGGTAAATATATAGTTACTTTATTTATTAAAATTTAAAATAAAATTTGACTCCCAGTTTATAAGATATTGTATAGAGAACCAGTAATTTAGGGGCTTTAATGCCTGATTTTGGCCCCAGTTGTCACTTCTACTGTTAATATTGAATTGAAATTATAACAGATAATCAATTTTTTTAATAACATATTTGGTTTTATTTGTTAATTTTTAAATTATAATATAACGGGAAAACAGTTATAAACCAATATATTTATTTATTATCTATTTATTAAAACATTGAATTTATTATAGAGCCTGATAATAAATTATAGTTTACTATTACATATATTAATACGAGATATTAACACAATATATATCTTAATATACATAATATATATCTTAAATAAAAACAATAAAATAATTTAGACCAGAATATTATTTTTATTTTAATACTGTATACTATATAAAAATAGCTTTAAATATAAAAATCCTTTTTTTTACTTTAAAATAATTATAATTTGTTTTAAAAAATATTAAACTTTTATATAAAATTACTAATAGTAATCAAAAAGCACTTTCATATAAAAATTTCAATAAAATTTTTTATTAAATTTAAGAATCTTTATTAATTAATATTAAATAATATGAAATACTATTAATAATTTATTTTGTTTTTATTTTATAAATCTGAATTAGTTAAATAATTTAATTAAGATAAATAAAAACCAGTTGAGAATGCGAGAAAGCATTATCGAAAAACAAATTTTTATTTAATTTAAGTTAATTGTTTTTGTCATATTATAAAAAATTATTTATTCCTGATAACAAATAGTCTATGATAGTCATATTACTAAACTATTAATTGACATTTTTATGACAAAATATTTATATTGAAACAATTTATTTGGTTATGCTATATTTATGTTGAAAAAATGTATTTGTTGATGCAATATTTATGGTGATGAAATTGAATTTTTTAAAACTAAAATAATTTATTGTTATAACTTTGTGTTGTAATTAACTGCTTTAGATGTTTAACTTAAATTGTTAGTCATTTTTAAAAATTTATCCGCTATTTTCAATAATTTTGACTAATTTTTTTAGTATAATCATTTTAGAGGTTAAATTTTTATCTACAAAAATTTTTATGTGATGTATTTAAAATCTATTAAATTACAATTAATACGATTATTATTTGTAAAATGTTATTATTATTACTACTATTGAAGTTATAGGAATTCAATTTTTATATTTTAACATTTATTACACAAAAATATTTAGAATTAATGCTAACAAACTTCAATTCAAACAATTACCATAATTTATTTAATAAAATAGATTATAATTTTTATATTTTATACAAATTAATAATATAATTTTACAATAAATGTTGTATTAATAATTTTATAATTACTGAAAATGTGTAAATTTATAAAATATTAAAAAAAAATATTATTAATATTTTAATGATTGCTATCTATATATTAACATTTCATTAAATTACTTAATATAGTATTTAATAATATATATTTATGTATATATATATATAAAAACTAATTAGGAAACCAAATTAATTTAGGTAACAAAATAAGTAATAATAAGTAAAAGTTACATAAATAAGGTAACAATTAGTATATAATAAATGTTGTGTTAATAGTTTATATGTACTGAAAAATGTGTGAAATTTTGTGAAATTGTGAAATTTGAAAAAAATACTATTCAGTTATATGTTTTTTTCAATATTATAATATTTGCTTATTATATAAGCATTACTTTATTACATTAATTAATTAACAACCAAATTAATTAGGAACAATAATTATTTAATAAATATTATGTTAATACCTGTAGTTATAAGTGTATTTTAAAATGTGAACAATTTTAATATATGTTATATGAATTTATTAATATTTTAATATTTTTAATTATATAACCATTAGCTTACTCTATAAATTTAATAGTTTATAAATTTAATTAAATTTAAATATTTAGATTAAAATATTTAGTTTTAATGCAAACAAATGTATAAAACAATTGCCATAATTCTGGCTCTGAATCCATGTTTTCTATACGGAGTTTCCATTCCTTGTGTTTGATTTGTTGGAGTTTTTCATTAAACTCGATATCATTTGTAACAACTGTGCTATCGATAGCCCATTCATTGTACTGTTCAATGATCTGAGAACAGGTAGGTCTGTCATCATAGACCGGTTGCATCGTATGTTTTATAACATTCAATAGTTTACAATATTTGTCACTCCATTCATGTGATATATATTTATCGCGTGAACTAAATATAAAAGTATTGAAATAATTTTATTATAAAAAATTAAAATATAATTTTAATACAAACTCATTGACATCCGTATCGAACAACTGTTCAATAATAAAACTAATACTATAGACATCAGCTTTGGTGTCATATTTACGACCAAATCTGACTTCGGGTGCCATATATTTAGGAGTTCCCACACCCTTCGTATGACTCTGTGATACCATTTCGTGAACTGTTATTAATCCCAAATCACATAACTTAACGAACCGTCCGTTTCTAATGACGTGTGCTATCAATATGTTGTCGGGTTTTAGGTCGCGATGAATGACCGGTGGATTCAATTCATGCAAATATCGGACACATTCTAACACTTCTAACAGTATTTCACACGTAATGTAATACTCCATACAATTCATGGGTTCATCTGTTGATTGTCTATCAAATACCTGTGCTTTCAATTTGATGGCTTCTTTCAGACTCATTATGCAATAATCCATTGAAATATATATACAATTATCGTATAACCAAAATGTGTTGTTATTAACTAAATATTGTGCCGTTATTTTAGTCAATCTTTCAATTTCTTTCAAAAACATCTCATTTATTAAACTATTTTCTGTTTGATTTTAAATAATATATATAAAAAATATAAATTTTGTTTTTTATTATTATAAATATATTAAATAATAATAATTATATTTTTGTTTTTTATATATAAAACTATTAAAATAAATACCTGGTATTTTAATTATTTTAATTGCAAATATATTATTATCCAATTTATATTTGCATTTATAAACTGATCCAAAGCTTCCCGAACCCAATGCTTGCAATTCATCATAACATCTATAATATATGTTATAAACAGTTTCTATAAATTTATAAATAAAACTCAATTAATATTATAAATATTAATTAAAAGTTAAGAAAAATATACCTTTGTTCAAAGTATCTAAACTTTTATAATCAGATTTAATTGATTTAATTGTATATTCAATAAATTTAATTATACTGTCAGTGAATTCACTCGAATTATATGTTTTATATGTTATATGATATTCATTAACACAATAATCAAAATAATTATTATATTTTGTATTAAATTTGTTGTTTCTAATCAATTTATAGACCATATCATCCATTGAACACATAAATGATCTTTCATTCCATTTATTAGATTTAATTGACTGAATATCACTAAATTCATTACAATTACCCAATAATTTTGGTGTCATTTGTATATCAATTTCATTATTTTCATTGTAATATTCACCACAAATATACACTTTATTTTTATAATCACTACTGAAATATGTATTTCCGACAACTGATTGTATGGATGTAATGCCCGATAGATTACATATCAATTGAGGTCTACATATCATTAGATTATTGCAATTAAGTCCCAATTGATTGCAACGATTTTGACCCCAACTAAACACATGTCCATCACTTGTCAATGCAAACGACGAGTTATCAAAACAGTGAACAGATTTTATACAATAATTGTCATTAAATTTTATTTTTTCCGGTTTAGTAATTGATTCACAAGTGATATCTCGGCTACCGATTTGTCCGAATGTATTGCTTCCCCAACCATACACTTCATTATTATGCGTTAAAACTAATGTATGATATGAACCACAACTCACATCACTTATCAAACCATTGTTGTCATTGATTTGTATAATCATTGGTTTCTTATAATTTTTATCATCACTTCCCCGACCCAACTGTCCATTTCTATCTAAACCACAATTAAATACACAATTATCACGAGTCAAACAAACTATGAATTACATTCCGTTTATGAATTTAATACACTTTTTATGTGACAACTCTATGATCTCTTGTGGTTCACTCACCCACTGGTTGTGTCCCAAACCCAGTGATCCTCTGATATTAGCACCCAATCCATAGACCCGATCATCGGTAGTAACAAACAGCATATTAACGCCTAAATTGTTGTCAAACACATAAAACTTATCAATTTTTTCGATCCAATCATTTGGTGATAATTCTTCTGTTTTTATATTTATATCATTTATTTCATTGTTTATTAATTTTGTTGATTTATTACCCATTTTTAACTACAATTAATAATTATAATATTAAATACTATAGAATTTAAAAAACTATAATTTAAAAAAAGTATTAAATTATAAATATATTTTTTGATTAGTACTTAATTGTAAAAATAATTTATTATATTTTCATTGTTTTATATATACTGTATATTTAAACTAAAATATTAATACCATTGTTGTACTAATCATAGTAACTATTAGTTAATAGTTGTTATCACTTATTAATAATAAGTTATTATTACTAATATATTTGATATTATTTATGATATAATGAAATACATTCAATTTATTATTATTATTATTATTATTATTATTATTATTATTATTATTATTATTATTATTATTATTATTATTATTATTATTATTATTATTAATAATCAGACATTAACACCCAATCCATAGACCCGATCATCATCTTTAGTAACAAACATCATATTAATCCCCAATTCGTCGTCAAACACATAAAACTTATCAACCCTTTTGATCCAATCATTTGGTGATAATTTTTGTATTTTTATATTTACATCATTTATTTCATTGTTTATTAATTTTTTTGATTTATTACCCATTTTTAACTACAATTAATAATTTTAATATAAAATACTATAGAATTTTAAAAAACTAATTTAATAAAAAGTATCAAATTATAAATATATTTTTTGATTAGTATTTAATTGTAAAAATAATTTATTATATTTTTATTGTTTCATATATAGTTATATATATAAACTAAAATATTAATACCATTTTGTACTAATCAGTGTAACTATTAGTTAATAGTTGTTATCACTTATTATTACTAATATATTTGATATTATTTATGATATACTGAAATACATTAAATTTATTTAACATTTTAATAATATTGCACTATAATAAATTGATAAATCTAAAAAATAACTATTATTTTAAAATTAATATTATCAATATAAATTAATTTATTTTATAAATATATTTACTCTATTTTTAAAAAATAACAATTAATATAATAAAAATTATATAAATAATTTAAAAAATTTAATAAGTATATTTTTTAATTAATAAATTTTATATAGCTATCTAATTATATTTTTATTTATTTGTAATATTATAAAAATTATAAGTAATTTAATTTAAGTATGACTAAATGTATAATTAAATATACTTTACAATAATAATTATTATCATAAAACAAATGAAATAAATATAATCATTTTAGTAAATAATTTTTATATATCATAGATGTCAGCAGTTTATACCCAAACACACAGTGAAAACATTTAGATTATATTCAATTCATTCAAAACATAAGTTTTTTATATATAAAACATTTAAATTTTGAAATTCAATAGAATTTTATGTTTTTTAATGATATTATAATTAAATTAACAACAAATTAATAAATAAATAAAACATTTATTTTTAATACAAATGTTATTACAAAATGTATCTTGTACCTTCATCTAAATCTCCCGCGACTACACTTATGACAGACTGTTGAGTCTATCACTTGGATGAGTCGATCCAAGCTATGGGACAGTTATGGCACATCAGGATTGGATGTTATCTAAAACAAACCGACGATAATTAAATGAAACATTTATTTTTAAAAATAATAATTTACTGATTGATAATAAAGTTAAACACTTGTATATATCTATATTAAAGTTTTATTTATCCTAATTTACAACAACAAACACTATTTAATTATGGGTTTAAACTATTTTTAATGATTACATTAATAACTGATTATTTTATATAATTTAATTTTTCTAAAAATATTTTCTATAAATAATTAATTATTATATATTTCACTTATATATGATTTATAACTTAATAAACTTATAGTTATTTTTAATTAATTGTATAAATTAATAAAATATCTTCAGTTAATGAAATATTAAGTGCATTGAAAAATAATTTCAATAATAAATAAATCAAATTATTAATTGAAAAATTGAAAATAAAATGTATGTTTAAAATATCAGATATTTATGTAAAACAAGAGTTGAAAATAAATGTCTGCAAAGTATATACAGCTTATGTTTTAAACAATATTTTCTGATTTATATAAATTATTATTGAATAAAATGTATAATAAGTAATAAGATATAGTTATAAAATAAGTAATTATTAATACAGTATCTAAAAAGTTATATTAAAATATTTAGTTTTAATGCAAACAAATGTATAAAACAATTGCCATAATTCTGGCTCTGAATCCATGTTTTCTATACGGAGTTTCCATTCCTTGTGTTTGATTTGTTGTAGTTTTTCATTAAACTCGATATCATTTGTAACAACTGTGCTATCGATAGCCCATTCATTGTACTGTTCAATGATCTGAGCACAGGTAGGTCTGTCATTATAGACCGGTTGCATCGTATGTTTAATAACATTCAATAGTTTACAATATTTGTCACTCCATTCATATGATATATATTTATCGCGTGAACTAAAAATAAAAATATTAAAATAATTTAATTATAATTAAATAAAATATAATTTTAATACAAACTCATTGACATCCGTATCGAACAACTCTTCAATAATAACACTAATACTATAGACTATAGCTTTGGTGTCATATTTGCGACCATTTATGACTTCGGGTGCCATATATTTAGGACTTCCCACACCTGACGTATGACTTTGTGATACCATTTCGTGAACTGTTATTAATTCGAAATCACATAACTTAACGAACCGTCCGTTTATGATGTCGTTAGCTATCAATATGTTGTCGGGTTTGAGATCGCGATGAATGACCGGTGGATTCAATTCATGCAAATATCGGACACATTCTAACACTTCTAATAGTATTTCACACGTAATGTAATACTCCATACAATCCATGGGTTCATCTGATGATTGTCTGTCAAATACATTTGCTTTCAATTTGATGGCCTCTTTCAGACTCATTATGCAATAATCCATTTCAATATATATACAATTATCGTAATACCAATATGTGTTGTTATTAACTAAATATTGTGCCGTTATTTTAGTCAATCTTTCAATTTCTTTCAAATACAACTCATTTATTAAACTATTTTCTGTTTGATTTTTAGATAATATATTGATAATAATAGCATAGAAAAGAATTATTAATATTAAAAATAAAAAATAAATTTTATTTTTTTTATTATTATAAATATATTAAATAATAATAACTATATTTTTGTTTTTTTTATATATAAAACTATTAAAATAAATACCTGGTATTTTAATTATTTTAATTGCAATTATATTATTATCCAATTTATGTTTGCATTTATAAACCGATCCAAAGCTTCCCGAACCCAATGCTTGCAACTCATCATAACATCTATAATATGCGTTATAAACAGTTTCTATAAATTTATAAATAAAACTCAATTAATATTATAAATATTAATTAAAAGTTAAGAAAAATATACCTTTGTTCAAAGTATCTAAACTTTTATAATTAGATTTAATTGTTTTAATAGTATATTCAATAAATTCTGTTATACTGTCAGTGAATTCACTCGAGTTATATGTTTTGTATGTTATATTATATTTATTAACCCAATAATCAAAATAATTATTATATTTTGTATTAAATTTGTTGTTTCTAAACAATTGATAGACCATATCATCCATTGAACACATAAATGATCTTTCATTCCATTTATAGGATTTAATTGACTGAATATCACTAAATTGTTTACAATTACCCAATAATTTTGGTGACATTTGTATATCAATTACATTATTTTTATTACAATATTCACCACAAATATAAACATCATTTTTAAAATCACTATTAAAATATGTTTTTCCTGCACCCGATTGTATAGATGTAATACCCGATAGATTACATATCAATTGTGGTCTACATATCATATGATTATTGCAATTAAGTCCCAATTGATTGCAACGATTTTGACCCCAACTAAACACCTGTCCATCACTTGTCAATGCAAACGACGAGTTATCAAAACAGTGAACAGATTTTATACAATAATTGTCAATAAATTTTATTTTTTCCGGTTTAGTAATTGATTCACAAGTGTTGTCTCGGCTTCCGATTTGCCCGAAATTATTGCGACCCCAACCATACACTTCATTATTATCGGTTAAAACTAATGTGTGATATGAACCACAACTCATATCACTTATCAAATCATTGTTGTCATTGATTTGTATAATCATTGGTTTCTTAAATTTATTATCATCACATCCCTGACCTAACTGTCCATATCTATCATAACCAAAACTATACACACAATTATCACGAGTCAAATAAACTATGAATTCCAATCCATTTATGAAATTAATACACTTTTTATGTGACAACTCTTTTATCTCTTGTGGTTCACTCACCCACTGGTTGTGTCCCAAACCCAGTGATCCGTTGACATTAGCACCCAATCCATAGACCCGATCATCATCTTTGGTAACAAACATCATATTAATCCCCAATTCGTCGTCAAACACATAAAACTTATCAATTTTTTCGATCCAATCATTTGGTGATAATTCTTGTGTTTTTATATTTATATCATTTATTTCATTGTTTATTAATTTTGTTGATTTATTATCCATTTTAACTACAATTAATAATTTTAATATTAAATACTATAGAATTTAAAAAACTATAATTTTAAAAAAGTATTAAATTATAAATATATTTTGTGATTAGTATTTAATTTTAAAAATAATTTATTATATTTTCATTGTTTCATATATACTGTATATTTAATCTAAAATATTAATACCATTGTTGTACTAATCAGTGTAACTATTAGTTAATAGTTGTTATCACTTATTATTACTAATATATTTGATATTATTTATGATATACTGAAATACATTCAATTTATTATTATTATTATTGCACTATAATAAATTGATTAATCTAAAAAATAATTGTTATATTAAAATTAATTTTTATATCAATATATATATATACTAAAATTATTTTATAAATTTATTTATACTATTTTTAAGAAAATAATAATTAATATATTAAAAAATTTTAACTTAATTAATTAAAAACTATTACAATAATATATATAAATGTAATATAAATAATAATAATAATAATTAATTAGTTAATTTTTTTTAGTAATAAATTTTATTAAAATTATATTATTATTTATCTGTAATATTTATAAGTTTTATAAGTAATTTAATTTAATTATAACTAATAGATGTATAAATTTAATTTACTGTACAGTAATTATCATTAAAAATACATTATATAATCATTTTTACAATAAATAATTTTTTTAGATATCAGAGATGTCAGCAGTTTATACCCAAACATACAGTGAAAACATTTAGATTTTATTCAATTCATTCAAAACATAAGTTTTTTTTTATATAAAACATTTAAATTTTGGAATTCAATAGAATTTTATGTTTTTTATTGTTATTATAATTAAATTAACAAAAAATAAATAAATAAAACATTTATTTTTAATGCAAATGTTGTCACAAAATATGTGTTCAATAAATGCGATGAAAACTATTGACTAAAAATCTCAAATGAAAATCAATTTATATTATTGTCTATTGAGAGGACTGAAGCCGAAAACTGCTGTCAATTACCGACAATTATGGACCAAATCGGGTGATAACAACAACACCTCAACCACTACATCGGCGGTATCGGCACTGCATGTGTTGGGCAACGGATCCGCTGGTAATCCCTGTTCAGTATGTCTGTCCAGTGATGACCGACTCTATCTGTTTAATTGTGGCCAAGGATTGCAACGATTTCTTCCTCAATACCGGTATTTATATTTTAATTGTTGCTTAAGAGCTGATCCATTGATAATCTTGAGTTTGAATTTTTTGAGAAAATAGTACAAACTTTCATAATATTTAATTAGAAATATATCATATATTATAAAATTTTTAATAGTTTTACTGCATATAAATAATTTGATATAAATATATTAAATAATAAAAAAAAATTATATTTTTTAAATAGCATACAATAACTTTAAAATATTTTAAATATTTATATACCAGATATTTAAAAATATTTAATAAATAATTTAATAATATTAAATATTTAAAAAATAAATAGCAATAAAGTATATACAGCGTATGTTTTAAACAATATTTACTAATTTATATACATTTTTATTGAATACAATGAATAATAAGTAATAAGATATCGATATAAGATTATTAATACAGTATCTAAAAAGTTATATTAAAATATTTAGTTTTAATGCAAACATATGTATAAAACAATTGCCATAATTCTGGCTCTGAATCCATGTTTTCTATACGGAGTTTCCATTCCTTGTGTTTGATTTGTTGGAGTTTTTCATTAAATTCTGGATTAGTTGTAACAACTGTGCTATCGATAGCCCATTCATTGTACTGTTGAATGATCTGAGCACAGGTAGGTCTGTCATCATAGACCGGTTGCATAGTATGTTGAATAATATCCAATAGTTTACAATATTTGTCACTCCATTCATGTGATATATATTTATCGCGTGAACTAAACATAAAAGTATTGAAATATTTTTATTATAAATAATTAAAATATAATTTTAATACAAACTCATTGACATCCGTATCGAACAACTCTTCAATAATAACACTAATACTATAGACATCAGCTTTGGTGTCATATTTGCGACCACTTATGACTTCGGGTGCCATATATTTAGGACTTCCCACACCTGACGTATGACTCTGTGATACCATTTCGTGAACTGTTATTAATCCCAAATCACATAACTTAACGAACCGTCCGTTTATGATGTCGTGTGATATCAATATGTTGTCGGGTTTGAGATCGCGATGAATGACCGGTGGATTCAATTCATGCAAATATCGGACACATTCTAATACTTCTAATAGTATTTCACACGTAATGTAATACTCCATACAATCCATGGGTTCATCTGATGATTGTCTGTTAAATACCTCTGCTTTCAATTTGATGGCCTCTTTCAGACTCATTATGCAATAATCCATTGAAATATATATACAATTATCGTATAACCAAAATTTGTTGTTATTAACTAAATATTGTGCCGTTATTTTAGTCAATCTTTCAATTTCTTTCAAAAACATCTCATTTATTAAACTATTTTCTGTTTGATTTTAAATAATATATATAAAAAATATAAATTTTGTTTTTTATTATTATAAATATATTAAATAATAATAATTATATTTTTGTTTTTTATATATAAAACTATTAAAATAAATACCTGGTATTTTAATTATTTTAATTGCAAATATATTATTATCCAATTTATATTTGCATTTATAAACTGATCCAAAGCTTCCCGAACCCAATGCTTGCAATTCATCATAACATCTATAATATATGTTATAAACAGTTTCTATAAATTTATAAATAAAACTCAATTAATATTATAAATATTAATTAAAAGTTAAGAAAAATATACCTTTGTTCAAAGTATCTAAACTTTTATAATTAGATTTAATTGTTTTAATTGTATATTCAATAAATTCGGTTATACTGTCAGTGAATTCACTCGATTTATATGTTTTATATGTTATATGATATTTATCGACACAATAATCAAAATAATTATTATATTTTGTATTATATTTGTTGTTTCTAAACAATTTATAGACCATATCATCCATTGAACACATAAATGATCTTACATTCCATTTATATGATATAATTGACTGAATATCACTAAATTCATTACAATTACCCAATAATTTTGGTGTCATTTGTATATCAATCACATTATTTTCATTGTAATATTCACCACAAATATACACTTTATTTTTATAATCACTACTGAAATATGTATTTCCTGAACCCGATTGTATGGATGTAATACCCGATAGATTACATATCAATTGTGGTCTACATATCATCAGATTATTGCTTTTGAGTCCCAATTGATTGCTACTATTTTGACCCCAACTAAACACCTGTCCATCACTTGTCAATATAAACGACGAGTTATCAAAACAGTGAACAGATTTTATACAATAATTTTCATTAAATTTTATTTTTTCCGGTTTAGTAATTGATTCACAAGTGGTGTCTCGGCTACCGATTTGTCCGAATGTATTGCGACCCCAACCATACACTTCATTATTATGCGTTAAAACTAATGTGTGATATAAACCACAACTCACATCACTTATCAAATCATTGTTGTCATTGATTTGTATAATCATTGGTTTCTTATAATTATAATCATCACATCCCTGACCCAACTGTCCATATCTATCTAAACCACAACTATACACACAATTATCACGAGTCAAACAAACTATGAATTCCAATCCATTTATAAATTTAATACATTTTTTATATGATAATTCTTTGATCTCTTGTGGTTCACTCACCCACTGGTTGTGTCCCAAACCCAGTGATCCCCAGACATTAGCACCCAATCCATAGACCCGATCATCGGTAGTAACAAACAGCATATTAACGCCTAAATTGTCGTCAAACACATAAAACTTATCAATTTTTTCGATCCAATCATTTAGTGATAATTCTTGTGTTTTTATATTTATATCATTTATTTCATTGTTTATTAATTTTGTTGATTTATTATCCATTTTAACTACAATTAATAATTTTAATATTAAATACTATAGAATTTAAAAAACTATAATTTTAAAAAAAGTATTAAATTATAAATATATTTTGTGGTTAGTATTTAATTGTAAAAATAATTTATTATATTTTCATTGTTTCATATATACTTTTTATTTAATCTAAAATATTAATACCATTGTTGTATTAATCAGTGTAACTATTAGTTTATAGTTGTTATCACTTATTATTACTAATATATTTGATATTATTTATGATATACTGAAATACATTCAATTTATTATTATTATTATTGCACTATAATAAATTGATAAATCTAAAAAATAATTGTTATATTAAAATTAATTTTTATATCAATATATATATATATACTAAAATTATTTTATAAATTTATTTATACTATTTTTAAGAAAATTATAATTAATATATTAAAAAATTTTAACTTAATTAATTAAAAACTATTACAATAATATATGTAAATGTAATATAAATAATAATAATAATAATAATAATAATTAATTAGTTAATTTTTTTTAGTAATAAATTTTATTAAAATTATATTATTATTTATCTGTAATATTTATAAGTTTTATAAGTAATTTAATTTAAGTATAACTAATAGATGTATAAATTTAATTTACTGTACAATAATTATCATAAAAAATACATTATATAATCATTTTTACAATAAATAATTTTTTAGATATCAGAGATGTCAGCAGTTTATACCCAAACATACAGTGAAAACATTTAGATTTTATTCAATTCATTCAAAACATAAGTTTTCAAAAAAAACTTGAAAAGTTTTGTTTACTGAAATCTATAATGGCTTTTTGAGTCTGTCTGTCTGTCTGTAGCATTTTTTTGCGAATTTTGAAATTCTGACTTCAGATTCGGTTAGAGGACTACTAATAATGTATTGAAAAGTTGCATCAGAATTTTGATCTCTTCGGTAACATAGAGAAAATGGCGGCCAAAGTAAATAAAATTTTAATAATTTTTTTTAAGTATAGATTTGAATAAAGCATCAAAAACAAGCATAAAAAATATGCATTAAAATTTTGATATCTCTTCGGGAACATAAAGAAAATGGCGGCCAAAGTAAAAAAAATTAGGTAAAAATTTTAACGTTTAGAATTGTAAAGAGCATCAAAAATATGATATAATATATCAGCATAATTTTTTTAAATGGCGGGAAAAATATAAGAAAATTTTAGAAATTTTTTTAATTATAGATTTGTATAAAGCATCAAAAACAAGAATAAAAAATATGTATAAAAATTTTGATATCTACGGGAACAAAGAATAAGTATAAGCGGCAAAAGTATAATTATAGATGATTATTTTGTTATACTAAATCATTTGATACCACACATGAGTAATTGTTTATTTTGTCATACCGAGTCAATTGATACTCTACATGTCAATATTTATATTATGTATATTTGAATTTTTACCGTTTTTAAATTTTTATGTTACTATATAGCCTCTATAATTATACAAAATAATGGTTTTCAATGCTATTCAAGTTTTTTTCTGAAAATGCTTTCTAGCATTCTTAACTGGTTTATATTCAAAAACATTTAAATTTTGAAATTCAATAGAATTTTAGGTTTTTTATTGTTATTATAATTATATTAACAAAAAAAATAAAACATTTATTTTTAATGCAAATGTTGTCACAAAATATGTGTTCAATAAATGCGATGAAAACTTTTGACTAAAATCTCAAATGAAAATCAATTTATATTATTGTCTATTGAGAGGACTGAAGCTGAAGACTGCAGTCAATTACCGACAATTATGGACCAAATCGGGTGATAACAACACTACTACCACTACATCTGCATCGGCGGTATCGGCACTGCTTGTGTTGGGTAACGGATCCGCTGGTAATCCCTGTTCAGTATGTCTGGCCAGTGATGACCGACTCTATCTGTTTAATTGTGGCCAAGGATTGCAACGATTTCTTCCTCAATACCGGTATTTATATTTTAATTGTTGCTTAAGAGCTGATCCATTGATAATCTTTTTTTTCTTCAATGATCTCTTCAATAGTATAAAAGCCGTGAAATGTCAGAACCTATTCCTCACAAGTAATTCCTGGCACAACATATCCGGTATTTCTGGTCTACTATTGACACAAATAGACTCCGGAATCAAGAGATTCACAATTCATACCAATGACAGCCAAAAACTGTTGGATTTGATCCGTTATTTTGACGTCAAATTAGACAACTGTCAGCTATCGGCTGTCGACTACTATCAATCGGATCCGACAACAGACACGATATTTACCGATAGTTATGTCGAAATTAGGCCAATAGTTGTCAACATCGGCGACCGTAATACTGATCGCACAGTTGTCTACTTTTGTAAAGTCAACCGAAAAGCGGGACAACTATTGCTGGACAAGTGTTTTCATTTGAAAATCCCCAGAAATTTATTACCGAAACTCAAATCAGGCGAAACTCTCGAATTGGACAACGGTTTGACTGTCCGACCATCTGATGTGATGACAGCCGAAGTGCCGGAACAATCGTTTGTGATTCTTGAGTGTCAATCACTTGAAGTATTGAATAGTATTTTATTGAACGACAAATTTTTATTGAATTTAAATGAAACTTACGATTCAATTGAATGTGTTGTTCATATGACTACTGATTTTTTAATGAAATCACATGAATATCAGTCATTGATATCACTGTTTAGATCCGAAACCAAACATCTGATACTAAACGAAATGAATCCAAGTTTTGGTTTAATTTCATTACACAGAACTCAATCGCAATTGAATTCATTGGATGAGAAAATTTTTCCCTTAATTAAAGAAAATATTGATTACAATAAAAGTGTAATTAATTTATATAATAATAATATTAACGAAAACCTGATTTCCTGTCAAACAGGACTACAATATGTGTTCCGACCTCTCGGACAAAGAGGCGTCAGTTTTGATGGACTCGAGTTAGTCAGTATGAAGTTTATACGCGAAGACGCACTGTTAGATCATCTGAAAAATGAAAGACAAGGTTTAGCCGAAAGTATATCGGATTTAAAAGCCAAACAACAACTACTTGAAAGTCAATCAAATAGTAATGTTTCCGAAGATAAACAATATCCAGAAATAGTATTTTTGGGAACAAGTTCTGCACAACCGTTGCTTAATCGTAATGTTTCTGCAATTTTAGTCAATATTACCGATGAGTCGTCAATACTTTTGGATTGCGGTGAAGACACTAGCGGTCAGTTGTATCGCTTCTATGGTTCAAATTATATTAACAATTATTTTTACCAGAAATTAAAAGCCATATTTGTTAGCCATATTCATACTGACCATCACATGGGACTCATTCAACTAATCAAAGACTCGTATAAATATACAAACAAACCGTTGACTATATTTATACCGCCGATGGTTAACGATTGGCTAAATCAATATAATCGAGAGTTTGAAGATATTAGCCATCAATATGTTTGTTACGCGACAACTGAACTCTGCGACAAAGATATTACAAGTGTTTTGTCTGATTTAAGACTCAATCGATTGGAAGCGATTCCAGTTGTTCACTGTTTGGATTCGTTTGGTGTCCTACTAGAGACCATTGATGGCAATAAACGAATTGTCTATTCCGGTGACGCCGAACCAACCGATCAGCTTATCGACAGAGGACAGGGATGTGATCTACTCATACACGAAGCCACTCAGGACGACTCGTTGGCACTGTTGGCCAGAAAACAGTGTCACTCAACCGTATCGGAGGCCATCGATGTCGGTCGAAGAATGTCTGCAAAGTTTACTATTTTGACACATTTTAGCGCCCGTTTCGGTAAAATGCCGTTAATTCCCGACAATGTGTTCGACGACAATAATGGACGACTTGGTATTGCCTATGATTTTATGAGAGTATCGTTAAATCAATTGAATCGATTGCCAATACTATTGCCTACACTTCGGTGTCTCTATTCATCGCATTTATCAAAAATGATGGACAGATCGGAGATATATCATAGAAGATATAAAATTATCAATAAAATCAAATCATATGTTTTTAATAGTTATTAATGTTTTTTTATTTTATTTGTTTCTTAGATTATGTTATTATATTATTTATTATACAATTCTGGCTCTGAATCCATGTTTTTATACTCAGTTTTATTTCTTTTGATTTGTCATAATTTGTAAAACTTTGTTATATGCCATTCATTGTACTGTTGAATGATCTGAGCACAGGTAGGTCTGTCATCATAGACCGGTTGCATCGTATGTTTAATAACATTCAATAAATTACAATATTTGTCACTCCATTCATATGATATATATTTATCGCGTGAACTAAACAGAAAAGTATTGAAATATATTTATAAAAAGTAACTAAAATATAATTTTAATACAAACTCATTGACATTAGTATCGAACAACTCTTCAATAATAACACTAATAGTATAGACATCAGCTTTGGTGTCATATTTGCGACCACTTATGACTTCGGGTGCCATATATTTAGGACTTCCCACACCTGACGTATGACACTGTGATAGATAGATAGATAGATAGATAGATAGATAGAGAGAGAGAGAGAGAGAGAGAGAGAGAGAATACGTACAAAAAATAGATAATTATTAGTTATTACTAATAATATATTAGTTTACGAGTCACTAATAAATAGTGTTAATAAAAAACTTATTGTTAAAAAAAACTTATTAAAAGATTTCATTTCAATCAATACTAAAAAAATACAACAAATAATTATAAATAAAATGATAATAATAATCATAAAAAGCAATAATTAATTTTTATAAATATATTAATTATATATATATATATATATACAGAGAACGGATTGTCCTATAATTCTTTAGACAGTTTGGATAATTTACTTCTATTAATAATTTACACTAAAAAAAATTTGTATGACTATAAAAATTTTAATGACGATATTTATTGTTGATTTTTTTAATTGCTTGAATAATTAATTACTATTGGTGCACTTATAACTTGTTGTTTTATAAMTTATTCTAGATACATTAATAAGTATATTATTTTAATAGAAACCTAATATAATATACTTTTATCTTATTAAATATTAGTCATGTGATTTAGTCATGTGTCCATATCATTAGTCTCCAAATTTTTTTTCTGTGTTAGCTTTACTTTTAATACAATATGCAGATAAAAAGTTCGCACCTATATGTGAAATCCTTCTACTGTATATATATATACAAATTTACAATATTTTTACACTACATAATTATTATATATAGAGTTTTATTAATTTTTTATATTATATTTTGACATTTTAACAAATAATAATATACAATCTATTTAAAAATGTTTTCAATAAAATTCATAATAATAAATGTTTTACTTAAATAATAAGCATTTATTTAGTCAATAATTGATTCAGATTGACATTCATATGTTTGTCCTATTATTTAAATAAAAAAATATTATATTATTTATAAATATTTATTTAGATGTATTTACATTTAATACATTTATATCATAAATATATTTTATTAAACTAATGCAAAAATTCAAAATAATAAATAGTATTCGAATATTTGCATTAAATAGTTATAAAATATTTATTAATATCATATCAAAATTAATTTTAACTTAAAAAATGTTTTTTAAAATTTTAAGTTATTCTTTTTTTATAAATTTTGTTTTATTTTCACTACAATTCTACATTATTACTAATCAATATTATCAAGGTGAAACATTGGATGATACCATAACAAAAACAAACCCTGAATTACCCGGTGCTACAATATGTATGGATAAATCTACAATGATTAACCAAAATGTTTATGATAATTATACTAATAATAATACTAAAACAAATGAGAAAATATTTGATTTGAATAAATTCAATAATGATTTTACGTTAAGCGAACAATTTAATCTAATTGGTTCATTGGATAAAATTATTAAATGCAAAATAATTAATATTACGAATTATGATATAAATTATGTGAATTGTTTAAAAAGTTATGTAACTATTATTAAATCAATTAATTATTTTGATGTGTGCTATACATTGCAACCGAATTCTATGAATAATATCGAAATATTGACTACTATTTTATCAGAAATTGTTTATAAATTTTCAATTATTAATAATATAAAATTATATAACAAATTATTGTCAATAACAATACATTCACTTACAAACCAAGTTTATAAAAGTATCCAAAAAGGATCGATTAGTATTTTGCTAACAAACAATTATAATTTTAAACACATTTTAAGCTATGATTTAAAAACTATTTCCTATAAAAAATTAAATGATCATGGTTGGTTTTGTTCAAGTAAACTAACTAATCAACAATGTCAAGATGAAAGTTTTATAGATAGATTTGTTAATCAAACTAATAAATATCCAGGACATTTTTTATGGAATCCACTTGGTAAAAAGTCAAATTCGCATGCTCATCTTAAATTTGTTACAACAAACAACAACAACAATAGTTTGTTAAACAAAAAATGTTTTAAAAAGAGTAAATCTGTTGTCGATTGTTTAGAAACATATTATAATATTCATTATGAAAATAAATTAATTGATAAATTAAGTAATATTTATTTAGTTTCGATTAAAAAATCAAATATTCCTGATATTATTGTAGAAAAATTGCCAAAAATTACATTTATAGATTATTTAATTCAAATTGCAGCTATACTTGGTGTATTTTTTGGTTTCTCAATTAGTTTATTAAACAATATGATTTTAAAATTATTAAAGTATTTAATTAAAACTAAATTATTAAATAGAAATAATAATCAACCAGAAAATCAAGACAATAATAATATAATGTTTATAAAATCAAATGACTTGAATTTTATAATTATATATAAATAAAAATCAATATTAATTATAAATTGTATAAATATCTATTTAAAAAAAATAATTATTATTATTAAATCATTTATTATTGTAATAATTTTATTCAATACAATAAGTTAGATAATAAAATTATTTTTTTGTTGATGATCTTTTAAAAATTAAACTTATAATCTATATTATAATAAATAAAATAAATATTTTTTTTTATAAATTAAATTTTTTGATTAAACAGCTAAACAATTATAATTATTATAACTATATGATAATAGATAAAAATCAATTTATAATATGTATAGCTAATTGTATTATAAATAAAATTGTATTATTAAAAAATTATTTTATTGCAATTATTTTTTGAAATACAGTTTGTTATATAATGTTATTTAAAATATATTTTGATCATTACAATAAATAAAAAATTAAAAAATAATAGTATTGATGTTATAGTTAATCAAATTAATTTAATAAAAAAAGTTTTGTTAACCATACACACACACACATACATACATACAAATACATACACACACATACATACACACACATACATACAAACACTTACATACAAACACATACATACACACAAATACATACACAAAAATACATACACACACATACATACAAACACATACATACACACACATACATACACACATACATACACACACATACATACACACACATACATACACACACATACATACACACACATACATACACACACATACATACACACATACATACACACACATACATACACACACATACATACACACACACACACACATACACACAAATACATAGACACACATACACACATACACACAGACATACATACAAACACAACATACATACACATACATACGTCGGAAATGCACCTCCACCAGTTATATAGCGGTAGAACTTATCGGGAAACTAAATGCACTTCCACCAATTATGTAGCTAAGTGTTCTGCACCCGTAGATTGCTGCTCGGTCAATGGGTATGCCCTTTGTTACAAATTGAAATGTAGCTCAGTTATTCGGGGGCGGGTAAAACACGACGACATTTACAACACAACAGATTCAGAGATGGAAGGCAATTTTAAAATCATCATTGTTTGCTAAATAATCAATTTAAATGCAAAATTAAAATTACATTTTACTTTTATTTACAACTAAATAAAATTTATTATTATTATTACTTTGATCCGTATAACAATACTCTATGAAAACCACAATTAGAATAAGAATTAGTAGTTTTAATAGCATTTTTTATTAAATTATTTAAGTTAGAATTTAATTATTAATGTCTATCATGCAAATATTAAAGTCAAATGATTTGAAATTTGAATTATGCTTAAGTTATATAAAATAGTATTAATTAAAACTTAATTATTAATTTAATATTGTTAATAATTAAATTAATTAAAAATGTATAGTTACATACATATGGTTTAATTTAATTGCGTAATAAAAAATAAAATAAAATTATTCTTAATATTTTAAAATATTTAACATGCATTCGGTATGTAATAAAACAATTTAATAAAAATTTTAGATAAGAAAACATCTTGATTAAACTTTATTCTAATTTTAGATTAATAGTTGCCATATAAAATAAGGTAAATATATAGTTACTTTATTTATTAAAATTTAAAATAAAATTTGACTCCCAGTTTATAAGATATTGTATAGAGAACCAGTAATTTAGGGGCTTTAATGCCTGATTTTGGCCCCAGTTGTCACTTCTACTGTTAATATTGAATTGAAATTATAACAGATAATCAATTTTTTTAATAACATATTTGGTTTTATTTGTTAATTTTTAAATTATAATATAACGGGAAAACAGTTATAAACCAATATATTTATTTATTATCTATTTATTAAAACATTGAATTTATTATAGAGCCTGATAATAAATTATAGTTTACTATTACATATATTAATACGAGATATTAACACAATATATATCTTAATATACATAATATATATCTTAAATAAAAACAATAAAATAATTTAGACCAGAATATTATTTTTATTTTAATACTGTATACTATATAAAAATAGCTTTAAATATAAAAATCCTTTTTTTTACTTTAAAATAATTATAATTTGTTTTAAAAAATATTAAACTTTTATATAAAATTACTAATAGTAATCAAAAAGCACTTTCATATAAAAATTTCAATAAAATTTTTTATTAAATTTAAGAATCTTTATTAATTAATATTAAATAATATGAAATACTATTAATAATTTATTTTGTTTTTATTTTATAAATCTGAATTAGTTAAATAATTTAATTAAGATAAATAAAAACCAGTTGAGAATGCGAGAAAGCATTATCGAAAAACAAATTTTTATTTAATTTAAGTTAATTGTTTTTGTCATATTATAAAAAATTATTTATTCCTGATAACAAATAGTCTATGATAGTCATATTACTAAACTATTAATTGACATTTTTATGACAAAATATTTATATTGAAACAATTTATTTGGTTATGCTATATTTATGTTGAAAAAATGTATTTGTTGATGCAATATTTATGGTGATGAAATTGAATTTTTTAAAACTAAAATAATTTATTGTTATAACTTTGTGTTGTAATTAACTGCTTTAGATGTTTAACTTAAATTGTTAGTCATTTTTAAAAATTTATCCGCTATTTTCAATAATTTTGACTAATTTTTTTAGTATAATCATTTTAGAGGTTAAATTTTTATCTACAAAAATTTTTATGTGATGTATTTAAAATCTATTAAATTACAATTAATACGATTATTATTTGTAAAATGTTATTATTATTACTACTATTGAAGTTATAGGAATTCAATTTTTATATTTTAACATTTATTACACAAAAATATTTAGAATTAATGCTAACAAACTTCAATTCAAACAATTACCATAATTTATTTAATAAAATAGATTATAATTTTTATATTTTATACAAATTAATAATATAATTTTACAATAAATGTTGTATTAATAATTTTATAATTACTGAAAATGTGTAAATTTATAAAATATTAAAAAAAAATATTATTAATATTTTAATGATTGCTATCTATATATTAACATTTCATTAAATTACTTAATATAGTATTTAATAATATATATTTATGTATATATATATATAAAAACTAATTAGGAAACCAAATTAATTTAGGTAACAAAATAAGTAATAATAAGTAAAAGTTACATAAATAAGGTAACAATTAGTATATAATAAATGTTGTGTTAATAGTTTATATGTACTGAAAAATGTGTGAAATTTTGTGAAATTGTGAAATTTGAAAAAAATACTATTCAGTTATATGTTTTTTTCAATATTATAATATTTGCTTATTATATAAGCATTACTTTATTACATTAATTAATTAACAACCAAATTAATTAGGAACAATAATTATTTAATAAATATTATGTTAATACCTGTAGTTATAAGTGTATTTTAAAATGTGAACAATTTTAATATATGTTATATGAATTTATTAATATTTTAATATTTTTAATTATATAACCATTAGCTTACTCTATAAATTTAATAGTTTATAAATTTAATTAAATTTAAATATTTAGATTAAAATATTTAGTTTTAATGCAAACAAATGTATAAAACAATTGCCATAATTCTGGCTCTGAATCCATGTTTTCTATACGGAGTTTCCATTCCTTGTGTTTGATTTGTTGGAGTTTTTCATTAAACTCGATATCATTTGTAACAACTGTGCTATCGATAGCCCATTCATTGTACTGTTCAATGATCTGAGAACAGGTAGGTCTGTCATCATAGACCGGTTGCATCGTATGTTTTATAACATTCAATAGTTTACAATATTTGTCACTCCATTCATGTGATATATATTTATCGCGTGAACTAAATATAAAAGTATTGAAATAATTTTATTATAAAAAATTAAAATATAATTTTAATACAAACTCATTGACATCCGTATCGAACAACTGTTCAATAATAAAACTAATACTATAGACATCAGCTTTGGTGTCATATTTACGACCAAATCTGACTTCGGGTGCCATATATTTAGGAGTTCCCACACCCTTCGTATGACTCTGTGATACCATTTCGTGAACTGTTATTAATCCCAAATCACATAACTTAACGAACCGTCCGTTTCTAATGACGTGTGCTATCAATATGTTGTCGGGTTTTAGGTCGCGATGAATGACCGGTGGATTCAATTCATGCAAATATCGGACACATTCTAACACTTCTAACAGTATTTCACACGTAATGTAATACTCCATACAATTCATGGGTTCATCTGTTGATTGTCTATCAAATACCTGTGCTTTCAATTTGATGGCTTCTTTCAGACTCATTATGCAATAATCCATTGAAATATATATACAATTATCGTATAACCAAAATGTGTTGTTATTAACTAAATATTGTGCCGTTATTTTAGTCAATCTTTCAATTTCTTTCAAAAACATCTCATTTATTAAACTATTTTCTGTTTGATTTTAAATAATATATATAAAAAATATAAATTTTGTTTTTTATTATTATAAATATATTAAATAATAATAATTATATTTTTGTTTTTTATATATAAAACTATTAAAATAAATACCTGGTATTTTAATTATTTTAATTGCAAATATATTATTATCCAATTTATATTTGCATTTATAAACTGATCCAAAGCTTCCCGAACCCAATGCTTGCAATTCATCATAACATCTATAATATATGTTATAAACAGTTTCTATAAATTTATAAATAAAACTCAATTAATATTATAAATATTAATTAAAAGTTAAGAAAAATATACCTTTGTTCAAAGTATCTAAACTTTTATAATTAGATTTAATTGTTTTAATTGTATATTCAATAAATTCAATTATACTGTCATTAAATTCACTCGAATTATATGTTTTATATGTTATAAGATATTTTTTAATACAATAATCAAAATAATTATTATATTTTGTTTTATATTTGTTGTCTCTAAACAATTGATAGACCATATCATCCATTGAACACATAAATGCTCTTTGATTCCATTTATATGATATAATTGACTGAATATCACTAAATTCATTACAATTACCCAATAATTTTGGTGTCATTTGTATATCAATTACATTATTTTCATTGTAATATTCACCACAAATATACACTTTATTATTATAATCACTACTGAAATATGTATTTCCTGCACCCGATTGTATGGATGTAATACCCAATAAATTACATATCAATTGTGGTCTACATATCATCAGATTATTGCTTTTGAGTCCCAATTGATTGCTACTATTTTCACCCCAACTAAACACCTGTCCATCACTTGTCAATGCAAACGATGAGTTAGAAAAACAGTGAACAGATTTTATACAATAATTTTCATTAAATTTTATTTTTTCCGGTTTAGTAATTGATTCACAAGTGGTGTCTCGGCTACCGATTTGTCCGAAATCATTGCGACCCAAACCATACACTTCATTATTATCGGTTAAAACTAATGTGTGATATGAACCACAACTCACATCACTTATCAAATCATTGTTGTCATTGATTTGTATAATCATAGGTTTCTTATAATTATTATCTTCACTTCCCTGACCTAACTGTCCATATCTATCATTACCACAACTATACACACAATTATCACGAGTCAAACAAACAATGAATTCACTTCCGTTTATGAATTTAATACACTTTTTATTTGACAACTCTATGATCTCTTGTGGTTCACTCACCCACTGGTTGTGTCCCAAACCCAGTGATCCGTTGACATTAGCACCCAATCCATAGACCCGATCATCGGTAGTAACAAACATCATATTAAACCCCAAATAGTCGTTAAACACATAAAACTTATCTATACTTTTGATCCAATAATTAGGAGTTAATTCTTGTGGTTTTATTATATTAACAATTGATTTAGTAGTGAAATTGTTGCCCATTTTTATATTATTAAATTAGTTTTAAAATATATTTATTAAATACTGTATATTATATTGAAAAATTATTTAATAGCATTTATTTTTTTTTTAAAAATATATTTTACACTTACAATACATCATTATTGTTACTTTTACTAATAATATACATCAAATAGAAAATTTCATGTTTATAATTAATTTATAATATGATAATACATTTAATTTATTAGCAAATTAAAATGTATTTAATAAACTATAATTTAAAAATATATATCAAATTATAAATTTATTTTTATTATTATAATTTATTATATTTTCATTGTTTCATATATAATGTATATTTAATCTAAAATATTAATACCATTGTTGTACTAATCAGTGTAACTATTAGTTAATAGTTGATATCACTTATTATTATAAATATATTTGATATTATTTATGATATACAATTATTATTAATAATATTGCACTATAATAAATTGATAAATCTAAAAAATAATTATTATATAAAAATTAAATTATATTAATTTATTGCATAAACTTATTAAAGATAAGATATTATTAAGATATTAATATCTATTACTAAACATATTGATAAATGTTTTATAAGTTTATATATTAGTAAAATAATCGATAGACAAAAAAATAATGTTTGTTATACAATGAATTTGAAAATTGCAAAATATTGTAAAATTTACTGAAAATTTCTGATATACTTCTATCAGAACATATATATATATAAACTGTATATAAAACTATATAATATTTGTAATAATAATGCTTGTTGACCAAATTATCAAAATTTATCTAATATTAATAATAAATTTGGTTATTAAATTACAGTTAGAAACTTATTTTTTGCACTTAAGATAATTGAAAAAAATAATAAAACAATTCGATGACACAGTTCGATGAAAATAACTTTGTCTATATTATTGTTGTTTTATATTATATATAAAAAATAATCTATCAATGATCCAGGTTGGTTAGTAAATTCGGTTAGATGCTTAGTTCAAATTAATTGTGAAAATTATAAAACAACTTTAAAAAACCAAATTTACAAATAATAATTTTGAAACTGACCCGGTATTTATAAAAGAAATCTTTTGGTTGTACTTGTAAAATGAATATATGAATAATAAACTATTAATTGCTTTCGGATATTAAAATTAAAAAAATAAAATTTAGAATCTAACGCTAACGTATAAATTCATATTATATTTTTATATTTTACAATTTTTATCTATATAATATTAGGCCAGATTTACATTTAATATGAGATTATCAAGTGTTGAAAATATTGAAAAATTTTATAATATTAATATTGTTTACTTTGAAAATTTACACAATAAACAAGTTCAAAATGTTTTTAGATTAAATTATGAAATTGTTTAGTTAATATTGTTTTATCACCCGATAGTATGAATAATAAATTAGTTATTGTTTTTGGATATAAATATACCATCATTTTGATGAGTACATATTGAAAAAAATGTATATTAAATATATATTGTAACCAAAATTTTTGAAAATTAGTTATTGTATTTATATTGTATATAAATTAGTGTTACAACAATTAGTAGTATATTATATAAATCAAAATTGCGACAAATTCATAAATATATTCTTAAGTTTAATTGCAACATTATTAAATAATGGATCAAACATTTATAATAAATTATTGGCCACAATATCAACTTTAGAAAATTAATTTATTACAGTTTCTATTAACTATTTGATAAATGATTGCATTTATTAGGAGTATATCGTTTTTCATCATAAAATAATAGGTATTATTCAAATTAAACCGATATTAATGGAAAACTATTTAGATGAACTCGCAAATCGTAAACAATGTCAACCATTAATAAGATTTAAAACTTTACATCAATTAATTAATTTATATTCTTTTTATGAAAAAACTGAATATAAAAAAATAAAGCACAAAATTTAGATATTATAGATTATGAAAGAATTTATTTAGAATTAATATAACTAGTAGCGACACTGTACTATTAATATTAAAATTAATACACTAAATAAAATTTTAAATAAAATATTAATTTTTAACTATTGGTTGGTAATTTAAACAATTGATTGTCAGACAATTATGTATTCATAGAACTAGATTGTTATTGTGATTGTTTAATCAATAAGTTAGTCAAGTCAAGTAGGTATAGATCGAGATTATGATTCATGCTCTTATTATTTGTAATTGTTGTCTATTATCAAAATTAATAAAAATCTTAATAATTTAAGTTTAGATATTTGATTGATTAATTTTAAAAATTATATATTTATAACTACTGAAAGATAGATTTTATATAAGAAAATAGATTTATCAATTAGAATAATTAATTATTATTATTTTTTCTATCATTAAAATTAACAATATCAATGATCCAAGTTGGTTAGTAAATTCTAACTAATTCTAAAATTCTACTAATAATTCAGTATGACGAAATAAATATTGTTATAATATAACTAAAACTATTGCCAATAATAATACACTAATATTTTCTTTTAATAATAATTTTAAAAAATATAGACAATGTTTAATTTTAGACATCCGGGTTATTTATAAATATTTTTTTTATTAAATTTACTGGAAATTTATTATGCTACCAATAAAATCAACAATGACAACAATTATATATACAAACATTGTTTAAATCAATTATATTTTTGGCTAAAGGATCTGATATTGAATTAATGGTCCAATCATTTGACACACTATATATATAACAAGCGCCGATGATATTAAATATGCTAAATGGGTTATCATTATTAATATATTATTTTCCGTATTATATGAAGTATCAATAATTATAATAGTTTATATTTTATAAAATTTAAATTTTTGGTATAATAATTTGTTGAGGTTTCAATTTATACCATTAACTAATACACGTTTTAAAGGCATATGACTATAACCGGTTATATTTGTCTAAATATTTTTGAGAAAAATATCGATAGAGTTTTCCAACTTTACGCTAACCGACCTCTTAAACAATCGGCTAAATTATATTTCATTTTATTGCAATCGGGCTGAGTTAGTATGCGTTTATATCTAATAAGCATCTAAACTCATGCATACTAACTATCACTGGTATGTTCCTATAATGGAATCTACCTGATCGCACTTTGCACTAAATGTATTGCAATATGACAAATCTATAGTATTGGAATCCATTATGATTCTGTGCAAGGTGATTTCACTATTGTTCATCTATATGCCTTTTTTAACAATGGTGGCCAACAATTATGACCACCGACTGATGGCCGATCTGGAGACTAGACTATTGGCCTGAAGAGGAGTCGGCGGATTCTGGCGATCATTTGGCGACTAGTTGATTGAATTGATTGAACGGTTAAAGTCGATGACAAATTAAAAAGTAATATGTAAAAAAATTTAAAAAATCTAAAGTATATAGTAACTAGATTTATCAATTAGAATGTCGAATATATTATCAAAATTATCAATAACAATGATCCAAGTTGGTTAGTAAATTCAGTTAGAAACTTACTTTAAATTGAAAAAATTATAAAACAAATAATCAAACAATTTACAATATTTGTTTTGAAACATTTAATATATTTTTAAAAATCTATTTTGTAAATGATTGCATTGATTATAAGTCAATAGTATATTAGGTGTCCATTTGATGACCCTTGATTTGTTGCCAAAATTTAAATATTCAAGAAAAAGACAGCCATTTAGTCAATAGTTTTTTATGAGATAGATGATCAAGTTTTGAAACAATTGTAGAATTTATATAGAATTCTTTACCATAAATTGTTAAAAAATTTATTGCAAATAATAAACAAGGTCAACAATTAATAAGATTTAAAACTTTAGATCAACTAATTAATTTATATTCTTATTACAAAAGCAAAATTAAAAATAAAACAAATAATTAGTTTTTATTTATTATTATAGAATTTATAACATAATTTTAATATTACTAGAATCGACATTGTACTATTAGTATTAAAATTAATACACTAAATAGAAAATAAAAAAAAGCTAATGTATAAAAGTAACTAGACATCAATTAGAATTATTGAAAATAACAATAACAATGATCCAACTTAGTTAGTAAATTCGTTTAGAAACTTAATTAAATTAATTTTATAAATTATAAAAAATAATCAACCAAATTAAAATAATTGTTTTGTAGCTGACACTGATATTATATTATATTTTTTTTAAAAATCTTGATTGATTATAACTCAATCGATTATTAGCGTAATACTTAATAGTTATTTTCAAATTAAGCCAATATTAATGACAAATAATTTAGACAAAGTGGTAAATTGTAAACAATGTTAACCATTAATTAGATTTAAAACTTTAGATCAATTAATTAATGTAGATTCTTAAGATAAAAAACATTATTAAAAATTAAAAATAAAGCAAAAATTTTAGATTTTATTGATTATAAAATAATTGAAATAAAAACAATTAAGTAGTGATCATTATTATGATTGATTTGTCAGTGAATTATTTAGTGATAGATCTGTATTTCAATTGATTTGGCAGTAACTTATGTAGCGATAGATTAAAGATTAAAATTTTAGATAAATAATAATTATTCTATATTTGTTATATATAAATATAACTAGTTTTACTAAAAGTTATCAGCAAAATAAAATAATTAATGAAATATTTTTTAGCCTCCTATACATATCATTTATTTTTTTTAATTTTGCTGTCCATCTGTGTATTGACGCAAATCTATTGCTAATACAAAAAAAATTAAATCGTTTTGAATATTTTTTTTATAAATAAAAACCACCGAAAAAACATTTTTATTAATTAGCATTATCTGAATCAAACAATAAAATTTATAATATGTGTGATAAATTTACTGTACAGTAATTATCATTAAAATAAATGCAATTATATTTTATTAAATAATTAGTTGATATCAGAGATGTAAGCAGTTTATACCCAAACATACAGTGAAAACATTTAGATTTTATAAAATATATTTTTTATAAAATTATTTGTTTCTATAGAATAATATAATGATTTGGATTTAACTATAAAAAAACCTATTCATCAATAGTTTGGTCGTATTTTTCACAACAATCAACAACACATATAATAAACCATTAAAACTGATTATAACTTAAAATGTGTAACCGAAAAGTGACCGAAAAGTTAGTACTGACCACTGGTTTGTTGAAACTGATTGAAACATTTGACACATTTGACACTTGTATTACAATTTTTTTGTCATAAAATCTGTGATCAATTTTTTTTTACATATCATTCATACAAAATCTGACTACACTTATGACAGACTGTTATGACAGTACATCACTTGGATGAGTCGATCCAAGCTATGGGACAGTTGGCACATAAGGATTGGATGTCGATCTCATGGATGTTATTTAAAACAAACCGACAATAATTAAATAAATCAATTATTAAAAAAACAATAATTTACTAATTGATAATAAAGTTAAACACTTGTATATAAAGTATATATAAGATTTATTTATCATAATTTACAACAACAAACACTATTTAATTATGTGTTTAAAATATTTTAATGATTAGAATAATAACTGATTATTTAATATAATTTAATTTTTCTACAAATATTTTGTATAAACAATTAATTAAATTTCACTTATATATAATTTATAACTTAATAAACTTATTGTTATTTTGTTTGTATTTTTTTATTAATTGTATTTTATTAAGAAAATATGTTTAGTTAATGAAATATTTAGCGCATTAAAAAATAATTTCAATGATAAATAAATCAAATTATTAATTGAAAATTTTTAATAAAATGTATGTTTAAAATATCAGATATTTTGTAAAACAAGAGTTGAAAATAAATGGCAACAAAGTATATACAGCTTATGTTTTAAACAATATTTTCTGATTTATATAAATTTTTATTGAATAAAATGTATAATAAGTAATAAAATATAGATATAAAATAAGTAATTATTAATACAGTAACTAAAAAGCTATATTAAAATATTTAGTTTTAATGCAAACAAATGTATAAAACAATTGCCATAATTCTGGCTCTGAATCCATGTTTTCTATACGGAGTTTCCATTCCTTGTGTTTGATTTGTTGGAGTTTTTCATTAAACTCGACATCATTTGTAACAACTGTGCTATCGATAGCCCATTCATTGTACTGTTCAATGATCTGATCACAGGTAGGTCTCTCTGCGTATAAAGTTTTTGTTGCACTGATTGTAATGTCAAACAATTTATTATATTTATTACTCCAATCACTGGATATATATTTATCACGTGATCTAATAACAGATAAATAAATGAATTATATTATAAAATAATATTATATAAATATTTTAATTAAATGTATAATTCACTCATTGATATCAATATCAAATAGCCTTTCAATTGTAGCTCCAATGCTATAGATATCAGCTTTTGTGTTATATTTGCGACCAAATATGACTTCAGGTGCCATAAAACAAGGAGTTCCCACACCAGCCGTATTAGTTTGTGACAACTTTTCTTGAATTGTTATTAATCCCAAATCACATAACTTAACGAACCGTCCGTTTATGATGTCATTGGCTATCAATATGTTGTCGGGTTTGAGATCGCGATGAATGACCGGTGGATTCAATTCATGCAAATATCGGACACATTCTAACACTTCTAATAGTATTTCACACGTAATGTAATACTCCATACAATCCATGGGTTCATCCAATTGTCTATCAAATACTCGTGCTTTTAATTTGATGGCCTCTTTCAGACTCATTATGCAATAATCCATTGAAATATATATACAATTATCGTATAACCAAAATGTGTTGTTATTAACTAAATATTGTGCCGTTATTTTAGTTAGTCTTACGATTTCTTTCAAATACATTTCATTTATTAAACTATTTTCTGTTTGATTTTAAATAATATGTAAAAATACAAAAAAAGAAATAATATATTATTGAATATTTTTTTGCTTAAAATTTTATAAATATATAAAAATTAAAATTAGTATACCTGGTAATTTAATAATTTTTATCGCAAATATATTATTATTTAATTTATGTTTGCATTTATAAACCGATCCAAAGCTTCCCGAACCCAATGCTTGCAACTCATCATAACATCTATAATATGTGTTACAAACAGTTTCTAAATTTATATAAATAATTTAATATTAATAAATTCAAATAATAGTATAAATATTAATTAAATGTTATGAAAAACAAACCTAAGTTCATATTATCCAAACTTTTATAATTAGATTTAATTGTTTTAATTGTATATTCAATAAATTCTGTTATACTGTCAGTGAATTCACTCGAGTTATATGTTTTATATGTTATATGAAATTCATTAACACAATAATCAAAATAATTATTATATTTTGTATTAAATTTCTTATTTCTAATCAATTGATAGACCATATCATCCATTGAACACATAAATGATCTTTCATTCCATTTATATGATATAATTGACTGAATATCACTAAATTCATTACAATTACCCAATAATTTTGGTGTCATTTGTATATCAATTACATTATTTTAATTACAATATTCACCACTAAAATACACTTTATTTTTATAATCACTACTGAAATATGTTTTTCCTGCACCCGATTGTATGGATGTAATGTCAGAAAAGTACATATCAATTGTGGTCTACAAATCATTAGATTATTGCAATTTAGTCCCAATTGATTGCAACGATTTTCACCCCAACTAAACACCTGTCCATCACTTGTCAATGCAAACGATGAGTTAGAAAAACAGTGAACAGATTTTATACAATAATTTTCATTAAATTTTATTTTTTCCGGTTTAGTAATTGATTCACAAGTGATGTCTCGGCTACCGATTTGTCCGAAATCATTACAACCAAAACCATAAACTTCACTATTATTAGTCAATACTAATGTATGATATAAACCACAACTCACATCACTTATCAAATCATTGTTGTCATTGATTTGTATAATCATTGGTTTCTTATATGTTTTATCATCACTTCCCCGACCCAACTGTCCATTTCTATCTTTACCACAACTATAGACACAACTATCACTCGATAAACAGATAATAAATTCTTCTCCGTTTATGAAATTAATACACTTTTTATGTGATAACTCTTTGATCTCTTGTGGTTCACTCACCCACTGGTTGTGTCCCAAACCCAGTGATCCCCATAAATTAGCACCCAATCCATAGATCCGATCATCGGTAGTAACAAACAGTATATTAACACCTAAATAGTCGTCAAACACATAAAACTTATCAATCTTTTTGATCCAATCATTTGGTGTTAATTTTGGTGATATATTACCCATTTTTAATTACAATTAATATTTTTAATGAATCTAAAAAAAAGTATTAAATTAAAAATAGTAAAAATAAGTATTTAATTTTAAAAATAATTTTTTATATTTTCATTGTTATATATATATTAATATATGTTTTTGTTAATTATTTTTATCACTTATTATTACTAATATATTTGATATTATTTATGATATAATGAGATAAATTTTTTATTATTGTTATTATTATTAGACTATAATAAATTTATATATCTATTAATAATTATAAATTTATTTAGACTATTTTTTAAAAAATAATAATAAATAATATGTGATTTGTTACTAAGCGCTTCCAGTAAACAGATACATATATAAAGTTACATATGTATTGAAAAATGTGTACAATTTTAATATTTAGTTATATTATTTTTAAATATTTTTAAATGTTTGCTTATTATATAAACATAACTTTAGTCTATAGTTAAATAGTTTATAAATTTAATTAAATCTAAATATTTAGATTATAAAATATCATTTAGTTTTAATGCAAACAATAGTATAAAACAATTGGTGTTTATAGCAACCGATTTGTCCGAAATGATTGCTTACCAAACCATACACTTCATTATTATCGGTTACAACTAGTGTGTGATATAAACCACAACTCACATCACTTATCAAATCATTGTTGTCATTGATTTGTATAATCATTGGTTTCTTATATTTATTGTCATCACATCCCCGACCCAACTGTCTATTACTATGTTTACCATAACTATAGATACTATTATCACTTGTCAAACACAAAAATGAATTATAAATTTATTACACTTTTTATTTGATAACTCATTAATATTACTAAATTTATATTTAATTTCTAAATAATTCAAAGCTTTTGGTACTATTTATTATAATATATAAAAAAATTATATTTTCTCTTATTTATAAAAATAATAAAATTAACAACAAAAAGTAATAATAAACAAAACATTTATTTTTAATACAAATGTTGTGATAAAATATGTGCAATAAATGTATAAAAAACTAATGACTAAAAAAAATAATCTTAAATGAAAATCACTTATTATTTTCTATTGAGAGGACTGTCAGCTGAAGACAAGTCGACAGTCACTTAGCGTACAATTATGGACCAAATCGGGTGATAACATCAGTACCACTGACAACATTTGTTGTCGACGGTATTGGCATTGCATGGGTTCCGGCAACGGATCCGCTGGTAATCTCAGTGCCGGTATGTCTGGCCAGTGATGACCGACTCTATATGTGTTTAATTGTGGCCAACTATTGCAACCATTTCCTGTTCATCAATACCTGTATTTATTTTTGTTATTGTTTGTGTCATAGATTAAGAGCTGATCCATTGAATGTCTTCAAAAAATGTTGATTAAATACATTAAAATGTTTTATTTATTGTCTATTTAGGAAAAAAATTATATTTTATTTTTAATTTAATTTTATAACCAATTTTTTTTTGCTAACTTTGTTGTACTTTGTTTTAATGTATATATATAAAAATATAATAATTAATTTTTGTTTAAATAAATTTATCTGCTTATTATATGTTTATGTTATATCACAAATAATATTAATAATTAATTAGTTTTATAAGTTTACATAACTTTAGTTTCATATGTTTTAGTTATTTTAATTAGTATTTTATATATAATTATTGTTAATAATAATAATGAACGCGTTGTCTAATTATGTTATTTATAAAAAAATACTGTTATATAATAGCTATAAACTCGAAAAAAAACTTGTATTTTATTTTTGTTAGGCGTGGTTCACATATTACGTTCGCACTTTTTAAGAAATCTAGACCCCCTCACTTCCCTATGTTCGCATATAATAATTTTAAAAAATTAGGTTCGCATGTCCCTAACCGTTACCACAAGAAATAAAATATCTAAATGGGAACATTTTTAAAGTCTCTACACCTCCCCTCCTCCCCCTCGTTCGCGAAAGTTTGCTTTAGCTAACCCACCCTCACCCTCAATTGCTAACGTAATATGAGACCCATACCTTATATACTGTATTTATAATCACTTATTATATAGACTAGACTTAGAATTAGAAAACCCATTAGTCTTGTCCTATCAATAAGTAATATATAGTTTATATTAACCAAATTATATTACAAATGCTAAACAAATGTCATTATAATAGTAAAAGATTATTTTATAAATTAATTATAAATGCTTTATAAAATTATTTACTAACATAAACTAAGTACAGTATTTAAATTCAGTTAATCTATATATTTAAATACATTAAATAATAAGTAATAAAATATAAGATAAGTAATATAGTATCTAGGGTTAGATTAGATTCCCTCCCTCGTCTTATATTCCATAAGTTCCTTATATTCCCAGTTCCCTGGGAATTCCCTTGGAAGACATTTCCTTGTGGTACCACCTATCGTACCCTAACTCACATTACATAATGTTTTATTAAAAACATGTTTGTATAGTAAATGTCTACAAAATGTATTTAATGTTTTTACTAAATGTTTAATATTATTTGAATCATATTTTGATTGAGTTATTACTAACATACTGGGTCCAAATTGAAACACATAGTCATTGAGATTAGGTACTTTTTAATGTATGACAAATTATATTTTCCCTTTCTAACGATCAAGGGAGGGAATATAATATATTTTCCATATTTTCCGGGAAAATAGGAGGGATTTTATTTGGGAACTTCCCTCCCTGGGAATCTCAATCTAACCCTAATACTATCTAAAATGTTATATTAAAATATTTAGTTTTAATGCAAACAAATGTATAAAACAATTGCCATAATTCTGGCTCTGAATCCATGTTTTCTATACGGAGTTTCCATTCCTTGTGTTTGATTTGTTGGAGTTTTTCATTAAACTCGACATCATTTGTAACAACTGTGCTATCGATAGCCCATTCATTGTACTGTTCAATGATCTGAGCACAGGTAGGTCTGTCATCATAGACCGGTTGCATCGTATGTTTAATAACATTCAATAGATTACAATATTTGTCACTCCATTCATGTAATATATATTTATCGCGTGAACTAAAAATAAAAGTATAAAAATATTTTTATTATAAATAATTAAAATATAATTTTAATACAAACTCATTGACATCCGCATCGAACAACTCTTCAATAATAACACTAATACTATAGACATCAGCTTTGGTGTCATATTTGCGACCACTTATGACTTCGGGTGCCATATATTTAGGACTTCCCACACCTGACGTATGACTTTGTTCTACCATTTCGTGAACTGTTATTAATCCCAAATCACATAACTTAACGAACCGTCCGTTTCTAATGACGTGTGCTATCAATATGTTGTCGGGTTTGAGATCGCGATGAATGACCGGTGGATTCAATTCATGCAAATATCGGACACATTCTAACACTTCTAATAGTATTTCACACGTAATGTAATACTCCATACAATCCATGGGTTCATCTGATGATTGTCTTTGAAATACCTGTGCTTTCAATTTGATGGCCTCTTTCAGACTCATTATGCAATAATCCATTTCAATATATATACAATTATCGTAATACCAATACGAGTTGTTATTAACTAAATATTGATCCGTTATTTTAGTCAATCTTTCAATTTCTTTTAAATACATTTCATTTATTAAACTATTCTCTGTTTAATGTTTAGAAATATATAAAATTAATATATTCATTATAAATATGTAGATAAAATTTTATATAATAAGTAAAATATAATATAATATAGACGTAATGATTTTTAAAAATTTATAAAAATAACTATTTAATAGTATACAAACATATATTAGCTATTATATTAAAATAGATACCTGGTATTTTAATTATTTTAATTGCAATTATTTTATTATTCAATTTATGTTTGCATTTATAAACCGATCCAAAGCTTCCCGAACCCAATGTTTGCAACTCATCATAACAGCTATAATATGGGTTATAAACAGTGTCTATAAATGTATAAATTAAACTCAATTAATATTATAATTATTAATTAAATGATATGAAAAACAAACCTAAGTTCAAAGTATCGAAACTTTTATAATTAGATTTAATTGTTTTAATAGTATATTCAATAAATTCTGTTATACTGTCAGTGAATTCACTCGAGTTATATGTTTTGTATGTTATATGATATTTATTAACACAATAATCAAAATAATTATTATATTTTGTATTATTTTTTTTGTTTCTATTCAATACATAGACCATATCATCCATTGAACACATAAATAATTTTTGATTCCATTTATTAGATTTAATTGATTTAATATCACTAAATTGTTTACAATTACCCAATAATTTTGGTGTCATTTGTATATCAATTACATTATTTTCATTGTAATATTCACCACAAGTATAGACTTTATTTTTATAATCACTACTGAAATATGTATTTCCGGCACCCGATTGTATGGATGTAATACCCGATAGATTACATATCAATTGTGGTCTACATATCATGAGATTATTACAATTAAGTCCCAATTGTTTGCAATGATTGTAACCCCAACTAAACACATGTCCATCACTTGTCAATGCAAACGATGAGTAATCAAAACAGTGAACAGATTTTATACAATAATTGTCATTAAATAATATTTTTTCCGGTTTAGTAATTGCTTTACAAGTGATGTCTCGGCTACCGATTTGTCCGAATGTATTGCGACCCCAACCATACACTTCATTATTATGCGTTAAAACTAATGTATGATATAAACCACAACTCACATCACTTATCAAATCATTGTTGTCATTGATTTGTATAATCATTGGTATCTTATATGTTTTATCATCACTTCCCTGACCTAACTGTCCATTTCTATCATAACCACAACTATACACACAATTATCACGAGTCAAACAAACTATGAATTCCAATCCATTTATAAATTTAATAATCTTTTTATTTGACAACTCTATGATCTCTTGTGGTTCACTCACCCACTGGTTGTGTCCCAAACCCAGTGATCCTCTGATATTAGCACCCAATCCATAGACCCGATCATCATCTTTGGTAACAAATATCATATTAACCCCCAAATCGTCGTCAAACACATAAAACTTATCAATCTTTTTGCTCCAATCATTTGGCGATAATTTTTGTGGTTTTATAATATTAACAATTGATTTAGTAGTGAAATTGTTTCCCATTTTTTTATTAACTGAATATTTAGTATTTACAGTTAAAACAAGTATCTTAAAAAATATATTTATTAATCACTGTATATTATATTATTAAATATTATATTAAGTCATTACTAAAATATACTTGATTATTATTTTAATTATTTAATAACAATAAATTTTACATTAATATACATCATTATTGTATATTTTTATAAAAATATTTTACATCAACATTCATAATATTATAATACATCTAATTTATTAGCAAATTATAATGTATTTAAAAAAACTATTATTTAAGTATTGAATAGTTATATTTAACTATTATTTAAATAAAGTATTAAATTATAAATATATTTTTTGATTAGTATATAATTGTAAAAATAATTTATTATATTTTCATTGTTTAGTGTATATATATATATATTTTTAACAAAAATATTATTACCATTGTTGTACTAATCTGTGTAACTATTAGTTTATAGTTGTTATCTTTTATTATTACTAATATATTTGATATTATTTATGATATACTGAAATACATTCAATTTATTGTTATTATTATTATTGAAATACAAAAAAAAATCATAAATCTAAAAAAATGTTTTATTATTATTAATTATTATATCAATATATATTAATTTATTTGAAAAATTTATTTAGTCTATTTTTGTAAAAAATAATTAATATATTAAAAATAATATAAATAATAAAAAAATAATAAGTATATTTTTTTAATTTATAAATTTTATATAGTTATCTAATTATATTTTTATTTATCTGTAATTTTATAAAAATTTTAAGTAATTTAATTTAAGTATTACTAAATGTATAATTAAATATACTTTACAATAATAATTATTATCATAAAACAAATGAAATAAATATAATCATTTTAGTAAAAAATTTTTAGTTATCAGAGATGTCAGCAGTTTATAATCAAACACACAATGAAAACATTTAGATTTTATTTCATTCAATATATAATTTTTTTTATAAAACATTTAAATTTTGAAATTCAATAGAATTTTAGGTTTTTTATTGTTATTATAATTAAATTAACAAAAAAAAACTAAATAAATAAAACATTTATTATTAATGCAAATGTTGTCATAAAATATGTGTTCAGTTAATGTATGAAAACTATTGACTAATATCTTAATGAAATTCAATTATTATTTTCTATTGAGAGGACTGAAGCTGAAGACTGATTTTATTAAAAGTTTTAATTATATTATTATTTATCTGTAATATTATAAGTAATTTAATTTAAGTATAACTAATAGATGTATAAATTTAATTTACTGTACAATAATTATCATAAAATAAATTAAATTATATAATCATTTTAGTAAATAATTTATATTGATATCAGAGATGTCAGCAGTTTATACCCAAACATACTGTGAAAACATTTAGATTTTATTCAATTCATTCAAAACATAAGTTTTTTTTATATATCAATAAAACATTTAAATTTTGAAATTCAATAGAATTTTATGCTATTATTGTAATTATAATTATATTAACAAAAAAAAATAATAAATAAATAAATAAAACATTTATTTTTAATGCAAATGTTGTCACAAAATATGTGTTCAATAAATGCGATGAAAACTATTGACTAAAATCTTAAATGAAAATCAATTTATATTATTGTCTATTAAGAGGACTAACACTGAAGACTGCAGTCAATTACCGACAATTATGGACCAAATCGGGTGATAACAACAACACCTCAACCACTACATCGGCGGTATCGGCACTGCATGTGTTGGGCAACGGATCCGCTGGTAATCCCTGTTCAGTATGTCTGGCCAGTGATGACCGACTCTATCTGTTTAATTGTGGCCAAGGATTGCAACGATTTCTTCCTCAATACCGGTATTTATATTTTAATTGTTGCTTAAGAGCTGATCCATTGATAATCTTTTTTTTCTTCAATGATCTCTTCAATAGTATAAAAGCCGTCAAATGTGAGAACCTATTCCTCACAAGCAATTACTGGCACAACATATCCGGTATTTCTGGTCTACTATTGACACAAATAGACTCCGGAATCAAGAGATTCACAATTCATACCAATGACAGCCAAAAACTGTTGGATTTGATCCGTTATTTTGACGTCAAATTAGACAACTGTCAGCTATCGGCTGTCGACTACTATCAATCGGATCCGACAACAGACACGATATTTACCGATAGTTATGTCGAAATTAGGCCAATAGTTGTCAACATCGGCGACCGTAAAACTGATCGCACAGTTGTATACTTTTGTAAAGTCAACCGAAAAGCGGGACAACTATTGCTGGACAAGTGTTTTCATATGAAAATCCCCAGAAATTTATTACCGAAACTCAAATCAGGCGAAACTCTCGAATTGGACAACGGTTTGATTGTCCGACCATCTGATGTGATGACAGCTGAAGAACCGGAACAATCGTTTGTGATTCTTGAGTGTCAATCATTGGAAGTATTGAATAGTATTTTATTGAACGACAAATTTTTATTGGATTTAAATGAAAATATCCAAACAATTGAATGTGTTGTTCATATGACTCCTGATTTTTTAATGAAATCACATGAATATCAGTCATTGATATCACTGTTTAGATCCGAAACCAAACATCTAATACTAAACGAAATGAATCCAAGTTTTGGTTTGATTTCATTACACAGAACTCAATCACAATTGCATTCATTGGATGAGAAAATTTTTCCCTTAATTAACGAAAATATTGATTACAATAAAAATGTAATTAATTTATATAATAATAATAATAATATTAACGAAAACCTGATTTCCTGTCAAACAGGACTACAATATGTGTTCCGACCTCTCGGACAAAGAGGTGTCAGTTTTGATGGACTCGAGTTAGTCAGTATGAAGTTTATACGCGAAGACGCACTGTTAGATCATCTGAAAAATGAAAGACAAGGTTTAGCCGAAAGTATATCGGATTTAAAAGCCAAACAACAACTACTTGAAAGTCAATCAAATAATAATAATGTTTCCGAAGATAAACAATATCCAGAAATAGTATTTTTGGGAACAAGTTCTGCACAACCATTGCTTAATCGTAATGTTTCCGCAATTTTACTCAATATTACCGATGAGTCGTCAATACTTCTAGATTGCGGTGAAGACACTAGCGGTCAGTTGTATCGCTTCTACGGTTCACAGCATATGAACAGTTATTTTTACCAGAAATTAAAAGCCATATTTGTTAGCCATATTCATACTGACCATCACATGGGACTCATTCAACTAATCAAAGACTCGTATAAATATACAAACAAACCGTTGACTATATTTATACCGCCGATGGTTAACGATTGGCTAAATCAATATAATCGAGAGTTTGAAGATATTAGCCATCAATATGTTTGTTTAGCGACAACTGAA